CTGTTTCCCCGGTAACGGCTGTATGCAAAACAGTGCAGCACCAGACTTTGAAAACCGCTCATGTTTATTTAATGAAATCATAGCCTTTTGAAGTTTAATCGTCACATTAAGCCATATCGCAATTCTGGCCTTTCCGTCCCCAAATTTAAGACCTCCTGAAATCATAATTAAGACTTTCTTGTACAATTTAAGATTTTTATGGTCTTAAATTTGATACAACTAAATTTAAGACTTTTAAGGACCCACGGAAACCCTGTAAACAAACACATCAATAACAATAATTTTGTAAAACATTGTACCTTGACTCGCTCTGCAACCCACTCAAAGTTCCTCTTCACCATTTGCATGGCCTCAGGAGTGACTTCTTTCAGGTCACGGTACACCTTCACAGAGAACACCATTTAAACTGACAGTCATAGTCATATAGATCATACTACAGGTTGGTTAATTCTCTCTAATCAGCATTTTTCCTGGAAAGATCGTGATCATAGCAGAAGGACATCTGCTTCCTCAGAATTAATTCCAAACTCTTAGTGGCTGCTAGTTTTACTCCAGTGTAAATCCTTTTCATGTCTGACATGTATAAATGTTTGGCTATTTACCTGTTTGTCTTTCTGCTGGCTGCGATCCCCAGCAGGCCAGAGCCTCCACGAGTCGTTGTCAATCACATCAGCCAGCACAATCTCTTTAGTTGTCACGTTCACACCAAATTCAATCTAAAATTAAGGTTTATGGGCATTAAACATTTACCATAGGAGTCAATAGTAGCAAATATCACTACCACCAGTTATACTAACAGAAATTTCCTTCAAAAGTGCTAGCTCAATACACTCAGGTTTCTTACTTTCATATCCACCAGCGTGCAGTCCTGTGTGGCCCAAGCCTTCTCCAGGACTTCAAAAATGGCCACTGTGCTTTTGCTCATGATGTCCACCTCACAGCGGCCAATAGTCAAACCTGCCAACTCAAAACCAGCTGCCAAAAGCTGCTCCTCTGACCACTGAGGATCATTATTGGCATCATCCTGAACAATGGAAGAAAAACTGAGGGCATCAATATGGGAAATGTGCAAAATAGCATGTCATTACATTGAAATGTGATTGATAAAATGCCTTGTCAACAACTTTATTCTAAATAACAGAACCTCACCTTAAAGAACATCTCCATTTTAAGAGGAGTGAAGCGGTAGCCCTCTTTGACCCCAGGGTTGCGTTTGAGGAAGGAGCCTGTGGCTATCCGTCTGCAGACCCACTCAATGGGTATCATCTCACATCGGGACGCCACAAAAGCAGTCTCAGAATGCTGCCTGACAAATGCCGTCTTGAACCCTGAAAGATAGTGGTAGAGTCATGATTCACATTACTGTGTGTAGAAATGACAAAATTATTGGTCTAGTACATTTTCAAGCTGAGTACTGTGATATACTGACACTGACTGTGCAGAGTACAGGTATGACAGACCAAAGACACATGCTTGCACACAGTGAAACTGGGATAGCAGTCTTAATAGCCTGAACACATCAAGCATGTGTGTAAAACTCAGTTTAATTAAAGGAAGCATGGCTGTCACAAGGCAGTCAATTCCCCAGAGTAAAACATTCATCAAGAGCCGCACATGGTGTACACACCAAGTTTAATTCACTAAAATTGCTGAGGTTGTGGGAACTATTTTAAAAGTAAATGCCCTCTATCAACTTTGAATTCGGGCCTCTCTCATGAATGTCAACTAGATTAAAAAAAAAAAAAAAGTTTGAGCACTATTGCACTGCTGAATTTTTATTCAATAAAAAGCATGTGATTGTGGGTCAGCACTAATTGCTTGCATGTTTATAGTTGTAGCATTTGGACCAATCAGACACACATTTGTTCATTAGATTTAACAAATCAATTATTAATTAGATTAACAAATAATCGCAGACCCCTCACCCAATAAACATACTGAGTGCCAGCATGTCTGGGAACGTCCCCAGGCCCCTGGTTACCATGGCAACCAGGACACCTCAGCCAGACCAGATAAACTTTACAACCTAATGGCATGTTGAGAGTTCTCCCTCTCACCATCTTTCAACCATAGGAAAAACATAATGCCCATAAAAATGGACTCTTCTCTAATTAATTCATAGGAAAACCTTTCTTTGAATGAACACACATATCCGTCAGGTCATTGTGTATGTTGTTACTGTTCTTGTATATTGTCTTTTGTATTGTATACTGTTTTATGCATGCTTATGATAGAACCACTCGTTCATGTGATCTTACCTATTCCATGTTTAGTATCTATGAATTCGTCTTCTGATGATCTAAACGAGAGTGTATATTATATGTTGGTACATAGGCAATATATTTGTGTTCTAAGAATCTTTAGTAGTTTTTGCATCAACACCCAACTGAATTACATATGCAAAATACCATGCTCTGAGACAAAGAGTCGTAAACTTTCCCTCTAAAAGTTCAAGACACCATTGGCTCTTTGATCCCCCAGAAGTGTGACCTCGATAGAGGATAAAAGGCAAACACATTAGCGACCCGCCCTCAGTCTGCGGTTCTGTTAGATTCTGAGAAGATGGGGATGCTGAGCTAGTCTTCTAAGGACACCCTAAGCTCGTGCCAGGCCTCGGCCTTGACTTTCCATTCACCAAAGTTCCTAGGATCTCAGCTGATGTCTCTCTTAGCTCTTTTTCACTTTCCACTGGGAAGAAACTCCCAAGCACCATCGAGTCAGAACATCTTTGGAATTCATCACTCTTCAAACCCGGAAGAATGTGATCACAAGTCCAAAACCTTGAAACCATCAAGACTTTCATCCGAGATGGCATCCGGAAGCTCGTCAACGACCAAGGCAATGCAAGTACATTTTACAATTTTACAAAGCTCATTTTACAATGCAAGTTTAGTACATTTAACTAAACGAAGACCCCGTTATAAACGGCGCTGATGGAGGTTAACTCATTCTTTTCATAGCTTCATTCTCTGGTTTTCCTGATGGTTTCATCCATCAAGTCTCATTTGCCCTTTCCCCATGTATGAGTGATTGTGTTTGTTTGTTTAGATTATTTATGCGTGTTAGCATTTAGTTAAAGGGGTCATATGATGTTGCTAAAAAGAACATTATTTTGTGTATTTGGTGTAATGAAAAGTGTTTATGCTGACTGTGAGTCAGAACAGCCGGCACTGTAGTCTACTATCCCAGGATCAGGAAACAGTCCTCTATAAAATGCGCTGCACAACTAGGCTTGCCATGATAGACGGTGTTGATGGCGATACCGGTGTTAAGCCGCAACACCGGTTATGTCACTTGCCCACCGCGGCACCACACACAGCATTTTCACAACATGGTGGCGGTGGCAGCAACAATAAAGTTATGCCTTCTTTCTTTGCATGAACATTTGGGTGGCGTTATGCAAATCTTCCCACATCGTGATGTAGACATGTGGGGGCGTGTTTAAATGAGGCGTTTTAGGAGGGCGTGAACGAGTCTTAACTTTTATAAAGAATATCTCTTTGGGTTTGAGACTTTAGTCTTTGCAACTTTAGGGATCGTATCTATTCACGAACAGCTTGTAACACTCCAAAGAGAAAGGAAAACTTGAAATCGCATCATATGACCCCTTTAATAAAACTTCTGTGCACAAATTACATGAGTTTCTGATCCTGCTTGTGAATAATGTCCCTTTACGATTTTGATCCTTGATACATGCTCTAATGCATTATTAGGCTACTGTAAGAAGGTTGTTTTCTGTGGCCACGAAAATATCCTTTCTTAGAGTTGATATGAAATTACACTAAATGTTCGCAGATTAGTTGATGGCAATTTAATTGTGCTACAGTTACTACTGGCAGCTCATATAAATAATTGTAAGTAATCATAATTAATTGTAATTATTTATATACATTTCCCTTTTGAGCTAATTTGCTACACAGTACACCACCATCCTTTTGAATGAATATTGTTTGTGACAAATGGGCAAATAAATTAACCAGCTTGTCAAAAGATTAAATAAAAACAAATCAACAGAAAGGAAATCTCACCAGCATCCTGTAAAAGTTTGAACACACAGCTGGTGGTCTTGTTGGCAATGGCTGCCTTGCCCTCCATCTGATCCTTCCGAACCGCATTGCCCGCTGTGATCTGATCTTTAGACTGGACCAGAACATGACCCGGCTCATCCACAAGCTCAAAGATCTGCTTGGTCTTACCCTCATTCAGTTTTTGACCTAGTTTCAGTTCTACACATAAATACCAATGCACAATGCACGTTAATTGATGTCAGTGTATGTGCCTTTGAGATGTAAATCACTGCAAATTATAGTGAACAAGCACATATGGGTCTGACATTATGACAATAAATATTGCCATAAGCAGTTTTTCAATCCATTATTATATTAATATAATAATAATATAATACCAATATTTAAAAAATCAAAATCAGTATGGCATAAGCGACATTGGGGGAAGCCATTTTTCAGAAAAACATAAAACAAGAAGGTCTCTTTAAGATCCTCACGATGGCTTGGCAATGTTATTTAATTTTTATCCGTTTATTTATTTGTAAATGTCACATATTTTATCTTATTATGAAAAGATATGTTGTGTTGAGGAAAATGGTTACTTTGTAAAAAAGTTTAAAAAAGTTACTTTGACTTGACATTGACCCATATTCTGATTTAGCTTGGCTGAAAATACTTATACTACCATATTACTGATTCTGTTTGACAAAAGAACTGAAGTATTAACTCATGCCATATGGGTGCATTAATTTTATTCACTGCGCAACTGCACAGCGGTAAAACGGTGAACAGAGAAATAATCAAGCAGACAAATAAAACCAAACTTACCTGTTGTGTTCGCCATTATTGTTGAGCTTCGTTTTTCCTGCAAAAATGATTAGAAACTTGATTATTCTGTGTTGCTGGGTTTAAAGCAAACGTTTCAATAACTACTTGTACTTCAGAGGAAGGATAATATAAAGTATGTCGAGGAGGAGACTCGGCTCATTTATTTTCACGACAGCAACGCGTCGCGACACTCTGCCGATTCATAAAAACCAATCAGAGTAGTGCCATCTTCATCACGTGGGCAAAATCTTAATCTGCATACTTTAACAGACAAAAGACTTGTCTATTTCTATTATTTAGAACTGAAGCAAACATCCTAAATATTTGCAAACTAGGGCGCGTTGCGCAAGACATGATCGCATTCGTCACAATTTATCCACCAGACTTTGTACGTTTTAAGTTACTGATTGGACAAAACTTGCTCTTTTTCCCCCAAAACTTTTCTATTTTTTCATCTTCTCTAACCTGGGCTTCAAAGCTGGCGTTTTTGTTCATTTGAGCATTTGTGTTGCCAGATCCTCTGCCGCATGTGGCGAAACACGTGCTTCGAGTGACTCCAGCCAGCGTGGAAATACACGCTTACACTACAAACCCATTGAGCTCGCCTCAGAGAGGTGGACATGGAGTTTGAGGAGTCGGGCATTGGGGAGGAATGCGGGGTGTTCGGCTGTGTGGCGGCGGGGGAATGGCCAACACAACTGGAGGTCGCGCAGATTTTGACACTTGGACTTGTTGCTTTGCAGCACAGGTAAGTGTGCTGCTGCTAATGTGCTGGTTCCTATAGAGGTGGCTTTTATTGTGGAGTTAGAGACTATTACTATAGAACACACATTTTAAGATCATCCCTGCTGAAAAATATAACTTGCTGGTTTCCCAACCTGGCCAGGCTGTTCTATTGGATTTTAAAGGGGGGTGAGGTGGAAGACCACCGTAAACCAGCTAAGACCCGAAAACCTTCTTAGACTGATGGTTTTTCAGCAGGAATCTATTTGACCTAATTTGCATCACTCCTAGGGACTGAACAATTAAGTAGTGTTTAAATCAGTTTTTTTTTCAGCCTGTTTAGACACAAGGACCACCAACCCCGACCCCAGTCAATCTAGGTAACCCAATATTCAATAAGCTTTTTCTTAATCATCGTATTCTATAATTCTTAACAGATCGTAAGTTACTGTACCACATTTAAATAGATTTCTATTTTTTTTTCAAATTTGTTAAAAGTATATATTTATATTGTTATATAGGATACATTATTTCCTATATGCTTTATATATCCATCCTGGGGAATAAATGCTTCATCCAAGTTGGTTTGCTGTTTTTTGCTGTTCTCCCAGTCTAGTCAGGCTGATATTTGAGGGGTTTTGGCCAGTTTTCAGCTGGTCGAGCTGAAAGACCAGTTTACTCCAGCTAAGACCAGCAAATAATCTTAGGCTGTGTTAAAAAAAAGAATTTCCAGCATGTGGTTAAAAAATCTTCCCTGAATGACAATACTGAAATTAAATGACCCTCTTGTTTCACATATAGTTTGCATGGTATACAAAATAATAATGTAGTGTTCTTAATTATGAACATGCGTAATTCACTGGTGCAACTTTACAATGGCCTAATCTGTTTTCTTAATGTTATAATGGTTTACGAATGCTGATGTAGCTCATAGTAAAAAAAAAAAAAAAAACTAGTATGCAATAATGGTTTGCTATACCCTGCAGCTATGCAGTTGAATCACAGATCAATAGACTTCCATTGTCCTGCCGTCTCACCGATTGTTCAGACGTGATTGCATTAGATGCCATTGAACAGACAGAGGTGATCTCCATGATCGGAATGTATGGATCCTCCTCTTCTTTGCATTGGAAGTCTATATTCTCAGACCAATCTGTGCTGCTTTCTCCATCATCAGTGCTCTGATGAAACTGTTTACAAAGCAAACGATCCCCTAAAACATAAGATATAGTGTTATATGGGTCAAAGAACGTCTTTGTTCACTGACAATTTCTTAATATGCTACTTTTGTCAAAGAATCTAATACTGACTGAATTTTATAATGAATGTATTATATCAGTAATCAATATATTTTATTTGTTTCTTTGACTTTCAGATGGCGAAATAGTTCAGGATTGTTTGCCACTGATGAATTGTCTGTAAATTAAATCACATCTATGAAATGCTGTCCATGTTTCCTATCAATGTGTTCTTATTCCTGTCTTAATCCTATTAGTCAAACTGAAGTCACAAGATCAACTCACAACTGACTCTCACTTTGTTCATTACAAATTTGAGTATGTCTCTAATGAGGAGAAAATAACGAAAAACCTTCATCTGCAGCTTTCCTCTTTCTTCCTTTGGTAACCGCCGCATGCTCTCCCCTTGTGTATGATAGGTCGCTGCTGTCTACATTGCAAATGTATGCACACATATTGAGACAACACAAAACATTTAATTTAAAAGGATCATAAGTCAGTGGTTCTTAACTGGTGGGCCGTGAGCAAAAAAAAAAAGGTCTGATACCGTTGCTACCAGCAGAGGAAGGAACAATACTAAGTGCAAATAATAAAATGCTACTTTCTATAATTAGTAAAGGTCTTTCTGTTTAAGGGAGGGAAATACTTCCCATATCTTGTGTTGCTGACGTCAATGGCTGGTTATTTTACAAATTCATCTGTCAGAACATGCTACATCACTGGTTGCATCATCCTCAAACATGACCTCATTTTCAAAAACCATGAACAAAACATTGCCAGTTAAAATAAAATATGATTGAGACTACAATAAATCTGGATTCAAGAATTAAATCAGTGTATTGATGCAGTGTGTTATTGTCTTAAAAATATAAAAAAATAAATAAAAATAAAATACGTTAAGTGTTTGTTTAATTTTAAAATCTTTTATTCCACTTAATTTCATTTAGTTTACTTTTATATGATAAACAAATTTGGTCATGCTTTGGGCCACCACATATCTAATGTCAAATCTGATGCGATACCAGTTGAGAACCACTGGTACAATAATTTTATTACCTGGGTTCCTTCTGTACACCATAACACCAGTGATGGAGTCAGTGGAGACATGCTGTTCATATTCTATCTGAGGGCTGCCAGTTGACCTCACTGTCGTGGTATTCATTTCAGGCATCCCATATTCAACATTTGACACTTCCTCTGGTCTTGTTAAAATGCCTTCGGTGTCAACTTGGTTCTGAAAGACCCTTGCAGAAATGGCAGGAGATCTCAAAGCGGCCTCATCCATGGGTGACTGGTCATATCTAACCGCAACAATATCATTGTCCTCCTGTGGAAGTCCAGCCATGGAGTGCTCCTCAAATGTTGGTGGAGTGAACATCCTAGAGTTCCTCAGTAAATTATTTGTGTCGGAAAACTCGGAGTAGGTCAGGCGACTTCTAGGAGGCTTGGACAAAAGGGCATCCAGCTGTTCGTAAAATCTCATGACGCGGCGAGGATCCCCGATATCTGCTTTTCCTCTCTGCAGAGAGCGGTAGAGGTACTTCAGGTTTTTGTACTTGGTGCGACACTGTTTCCAGTCCCTTTCCACGCCCTGCTGAAGAAGCCTTCGTGAAATCTGCACGAATATGTCTTTGTTTCTGGTTGAGCCCTGTAGCTGTCGCTGAATGCCTTCTTCGGCCCAGATCTGAAGCAGTGCGGCCACCTCTTCCTCACTCCAGTTTCTGCCCGAGTCGTGCACTGTGATTATGTTCATCTCGTTTGCGGTTGCTGCTGTTGTTGCTGAAGAAGAAATTCGTTTTTAGAGTTTTTTTTTTAAAGTTGAAGATGTTGAAACAACATTTAACATTTCTGTTTATATCAGAACTCACCTATCTCTCTTGCAATCAGTGGATGAGTGGTGGCATTCATTATTGTTTGCATCTCTGCCAGACTTTCATCTTAAAGAAAGGCATAAAGTTGCAGATGGCGAACTTGAACCATCACTGTTTTGTGGTAATTAATATCACAAATCTTACCGTCATCGATCTTGATAACCTGTCCTTCGACAGGTTCACGCCTCATGGCCAACTGGTCCCTGTCTGGTATGTTCCTAGACGACTCGTCCTCATCAAATCCACCCTCAATGTCTTTGCCCTGCATTATAGCATTAAGCTCAGCGAAAAACCTTATCGGCCGGCCTTGACTCTTGCTGACTTTGTAGTCATATTTCATGTTCTTGTATTTGGTGCGGCACTGTCTCCAATCTCGTACCACGCCATGTTGGCGCTCCAGCCGATGTGCCATCTCCTGGAAGATGGCCTTGTTTCTGTGGGAGCGTTGGAGCTGCTTGTGAACCTCCTTGTCGGCCCAAACAGTAAGGAGAGCCCGAACCTCCTTGTCAGACCAGTGCCTCCCTCCTTCCAGCCCTAGAAGTAAATTGGTTCTCGCTTAACAACAGGTTTGGCAAGATTAGCTAGATGAAAATGTAGTATAAACAGTGGGGCTGGATTTATACACAAACCACAGGTTTTTGTTTGGTTTTCAGACTTTTCGACTACAAGGCCCTCCTAGACCACAACAAAATTTGGCCACATGACTTTTCCAGTTGTTTGTGAAGGATTAAGGATGTTTTTTTTTGTTTTTTTACTCACAATTTCTCCCTGCTAAATTATTTTAGTGCTTGGCATGACTAGAAAAATGTATTAACTAAAAAATGCTCATGGAGTAAGATATATGGAGTAAGACCAGTTTTTCAAGACTATGGAAGTCCTGTTTTTCAAAAGAAGTTGTTGAGGGGGAGGGGGGATTAGCCTAAGGCTTTTTTAGTTGTTTTGGCAATTTAATGCTTGTTTTTGTCTTATTTTAAATCGTTTTAAGTCATTTTGAGGCCCCATAGTGGGCCCAGGCCCCTGGTTGAGAACCACTGTTATATAAGAAATTTAAAAAATTGTTGTAGAATGAGAGTTAATTTTTTGTAAAATTATTTAATGGTATATTATTTATTTATGTAATTACTTAATTATGCAAGCTACATATAAAATATCACAAAAAAAAAGAGAGCAAATATCCAATTGTAACTCGAATGCTTCATACAAAAATGTTGTGCTTTCCTGATTGTAGCTTTGTTATCATGTGAGTGTTACCTTCCTGAAGACCTGGCAGTGAAGCAGGCTCCTCTCTTCTGGCAGCCGTCGGCTCTTCATCTGTCATGTAAGGCCTTTGGGTCAGCGGCCTGCTATCTGCAGAAGAGTGTTTGTAGATGGTCTGCGTAGGCCTCCAGTCTGGAAGAGCCATGCTCCTACTCTGGGCCTTACAGTCAGTCCAGTCTCTACACACCCCAAGCTCTCTCAAACGGCTTGAGATGGCCTCATACTTGGCCCTGCTTTCTTCCTCTTCCCAGGCTTGTCTCTCCCTCCACACGGAAAGCAGTGCTTTCACTTCCTCTCCTCTCCAGTGTCCAGCTGTGTCCCTCTGCCTCTTGTCCTCCCCAGCATGCCTTTGTTGGTCTGTTTCAGGCTCCATGTTTCTAAGCTTGCCTAGAAATGGCTTCTGTTTGTTCGCCTCTGCCTTTATCCTCTCTGCTCCCCCTCCCTGTTGACTTTAAGCTCAGTGTCCAAGGCAACCAGACGACTGAGCCAGTTAGGAACAGCCACGTGACAGAGAACAGCCACATGACTGGCTTAAGCTGTGTGCTGCGGGGGAGGGCCAGGGAAGAAATGTGAGAAGTGGCTTGGCGAATGAGCTGCACTTGCTGCGTCGATCTTTACTCAATAAGACATGTGGAATAGGCTCAGAGGCATTTGGCTGTGCTAACATGTCTATTTTGAATGTCTTCTGTTTATTTTGTCACCTCTTTGGCATGAACTGCCTATGCTTTCCGTCTCCTTTTCTCTCATACTCGCACTCTCTCGCTCTCTCTCTCTCTCTCTCTCACTCTCTCGCTCTAGTTCCCCCTCCCCCTCTTTCTCATTGTCATTCTCTGGCTAACGCATCACATAAACCAGTTTGATCTGCTTTAGTCACACTCTGTGCAGTCATTCACTCATAGAAACAGATTTGGCTTGATTTTGATTTTGTTGGTTTAAAATATCGGGAAAGAATGGGAGGGACACATTCTCTATTCAGACTCTAGTCTTGCAAAGACATGTTTTCTAATGGATTACCACATGCAATATCACTTCTTCAACAAACACCATCAGTGTGTCTCAATATCTGCACTTTTTATTATTATTATTATTAAAGGTACATTCCTTTATTCAAAGAAAAGTTTAGCACGTCAAGAAATTAATAAAAATCATGTACACTCACATGAGATGAAGACTTAAGCCATATTAGAAGTGTAATGAAAGCCTTTTTATTTCTTTGTTCAGATCACATGACCTCTATTTTTGGTATGAACACTAAATTAATCATGCCTGATTGTAAATAGATCATTCCTACAATGTTATCAGTAACTGAAAACTTGTGTGTAATGCCTCCTCCAGGTGTCAGTATTCACTACTTTTCCAAATGTCTTTAATGTCTATGAAAAAAAAAACTATTTAAAATAACTGTTTTCTGTTTGACTATATGCATATTTTGAAATGTGGTTTATTCCTGTGACGGCAAAGCTGAATTTTCAGCAGCCATTACAACCATTACAAACAATTTTTCAGGATTTTTTGATGAAGAGAAAAAGATCAGCATTTTTCTGAAATAGAAATATTTTGTATCATTATAAATGTCTTTACTGTAATTTTTTAGTGTTTTAATGTGTCCCTGCTGAATAAACTAATTGACACCACATTTTTTATTGGTATGTCTGTGTTAGTATGTATAAGACAATTGCTAAATCTGCATAATTTATTGTAGATCTTTAATGTGAAAACAAAAACTCTTTTAGAATACTTTTTGTTCAATAGGGGTCAGGAGAGTGCTGGAATTGTCATGAGTACTGGAACAAACCCACCAACATACACCACCCTAAAGGTAATGTAGGAATAACACAGCATTTCAATGCATACAGCATCTGCTTCTCACTTAAAGGGGTCATATGATGCTATTTTAAAGATCATTATTTTGTGTATTTGGTGTAACAGAATATGCTGACATGCTTTAATGTTCAAAAAACACATTATTTTTCAAATACTGTACATTATAGTAGGTCCTCTATGACCCGCCTCTCTCAAACGCTTCGTTTTCTACAAAGTCCCTCCTTCCGACAAGCGCAGTCTGCTCTGATTGGCCAAAACTTGAAATCGCATCATATGACCCCTTTAAAACATGATTTGTTCCTGTCCCACGGGCCAACACATTTCAACATAAAGCAATGAATGCAAGATTAGACATGCCTGACATAATTGCTTCTCACAGGGCATGGGTTTAGTGAATACAGCTTTTAAAGCAGAGGATTTGCTGGAACTGCGCAATGGTAACCTAGGCATCGGACACACGCGTTACTCCACCACGGGCATCTCAGAGCTACAGAACTGCCAGCCTTTTGTGGTAGACACGCTGCATGGCAAGATTGCAGTAGCACACAATGGGGAACTGGTCAATGCCTCCGCACTGCGCAAGAAGGTGGGCTTTGATACTTAAGGATTACATGAGACTCCACATACAGTTTCAGGAGAAGGGAGGAGGTTTTTTCTATTTGATATAAAGTATTTGTGTGTTGTAGGTTATGCGCCATGGCGTTGGCCTCTCCACCAGCTCAGACAGTGAACTTATTACCCAGCTCCTAGCTTTGACTCCACCCATGGAGGAGCAAGACACTCCTGATTGGGTGGCTCGGTAAGTTGTGCATGTCCTTCCCCATCCCAACATCTGATTGGGTCACCACTTGTTAAACCCTATCAGTATTACTGATTGCAAAGTGAAGTCCATTTCTGCAGTCTTCATTTTTATGTATTTGTATGGTTTCTTTTTCTCAGTATAAAGAACTTGATGACTGAGACGCCTACTTCGTACTCACTGCTAGTGATGTATAAAGATGTGATCTATGCAGTGAGAGACCCCTATGGAAACAGGCCTCTTTCTATTGGACGTATAGTGCCCATCTCCAAACTGCACAGCTCAGGTGTGTGATTCAGCAGTGAGGGGAAGGGTTTGAGCCTTGAGGTGAGCACATCTCCGCATCTGCCATGAGTTTTGGTCACTTATTTGGGAACATAACATGCGGCAGCAAACTTCCTATATTTTATGTCAACAAAAGGGATGCTTTAAGTGCTGTTAAGGGCTATAAATATTAGTATTATAAATATTAGTAGTTTTATAGTTATACTGTAAAATAAAATAATTAATTATTATTATTATTGTATTAAAAATTCTTATGGCAAATATTTCTTATTGTTTAATTAATTTTAGTAATAATAATAATAATAAATAACAACATTTATTATCTGTGAATAGCTCTCACACTCAACTACAAGGTACAACATGCTACAACTGGCAATCAACTTCTGAAGCCAGCATGGACACAATCAAACTACAACAGATGCAAAGGGCCAATTATACTATAAGCCAAACTTATAGTGTCAAGACCATCAATTTAGATTAAAATGTTATGGAGTGTGACTGTTGAGCTTTCATTTTTAGTATGCGAAATTTAGTAGCTTAATTGTTTTTCTCCATGACTTTTGGGGGCTGTTTATAGGAATATGTATATATTCATGACTGTGCATGTCACAGGATGCAAAATAAAGTCTGAAGGGGTGCATGTGGCCTGTCTGTGCTGTACCTTAGGTCTAAAATGGTGCTAAACTTGTTGTTTAATTCTGTAGGTGCTGGAGAAACAGACACAGAAGGCTGGGTGGTCTCTTCTGAGTCCTGCAGCTTCCAGTCCATTGGAGCAAAGTATGTTCACATCATTCTAACAGAAACGCTTTGATTACTCTTTTTGGCTATCTATACATTTCTTTAAAGGGGTTTCCATCCCTAAGCCCGCACACAGTAGCTGCTGCATGTTTTATAATTTAGTTTGTTTATTGTGTGTGTTTTAATTTTTCTGTTGTCAGGTATTATCGTGAAGTACAGCCCGGAGAGATCATCCAGATCTCTAAAAATGGAGTGAAGAGCCTGAGTGTTGTCCCACGGCCAGAGGGAGACCCTCCTGCATTCTGCATATTTGAGTATGTTTACTTTGCCAGGCCAGACTCCATATTTGAAGGTAAGTTCATAATATTTAATATCATTCTTATGTTTTGAGTGAAAGGAAAGATTGAGATGTAACAGTATTGTTTGGGTTAAACCAAATGATTGGGGTTAGTAAGATTTTCAACCACCTTGTATTGTCACAGATGTTGGTAGTATATGTAAATAAACAATGTGTACACTTTCTCCATGTTACCTGCACTCAGATCTTCCCATTTGTTTTTCAGCTAAAGTCCATCATATGATGCATTTTGTTAAAATTTCAGATCATGCTTCTACATTTTTGTATCCCAGCTCACAGTCAGTCTGATCAAACACAGTGCATTATGGGTGTTGAAGTTTCTATACCTTTTTAGCAAAAGGGAACACCTCAGGCCTTTTGCTCGGTTTCTCTAGTCACCTATTTAAAAAAAACCCCAGACAATTTTTATTTAAAAACCTATTTTGCCAGCAGTGAATTAACCCTTTAAACCGCTCAAAAGTGAGTCAAGACGGTAAGCATTTCTAAGATTCCTATTTTAAACAACTACTGTACTTATGAACTGTCTGTTCATCAAAAAAAAAACATCCTGGTTTCCACTAAAATAATTAAGCTGCACAACCAGTCTCAACTTTGATAATAATAATAATAATAAATGTTTCTTGAGCAGCAAAACAGCATATTAGAATGATTTCTGAAGAATCATGTGACACTGAAGACTGGATGTGTGTATATATATATATTTAAGTTATTAAGAAACAGTTCTTTCAAAAACATACAAAAAATCATAGTGGACACAAATTTGGAACGGTAGTATATATTATTTTGTATTATATAAAGAGTTTTTATGATATAATTATGTAGTACTAGGTGAAATAAGTGGTATTTTTTTGGTGTTACAGGCCAGATGGTATATACAGTGAGGCAGCGCTGTGGACAGCAGTTGGCCATTGAGGCTCCCACTGATGCTGATGTAGTGAGCACTGTTCCAGAATCAGCCACACCTGCAGCATTAGGATACGCACAACAAGTGAGTAATAAGGATGCTGTACACATCTGTCATAATGCTTTATTGTTTTCACTGAGCCATTACAAAGTGTTACATTCTGTCTCTTTCTCAGTCTGGCCTTCCATATGTAGAGGTGCTGTGTAAGAACCGCTACGTGGGCAGAACGTTCATTCAACCAAACACTCGCCTACGTCAGCTTGGAGTTGCCAAGAAGTTTGGGGCGTTAACTGATAACTTTGCTGGCAAACGAGTGGTGCTTATCGATGATTCGATTGTGAGGGGCAACACCATCTCCCCTATTATTAAACTGCTGAAGGAAGCAGGTGCAACAGAGGTAAAAATATATTTGAATCAGCACTGTATGTTTGCTGCTTTGGTCTAGTTTCACCGACACGGTGTCTTTGTCATGTCACATGACACATCACAGGTCCACATTCGAGTTGCATCACCTCCAATCCGGTTCCCATGCTACATGGGCATTAACATTCCTACCAAAGAGGAGCTAATTGCTAACAAACCAGAGTTTGAGGATATAGCGGGTTATATTGGTAAGTCAGGAGCAGAGATTTGTTTAATTGCTAAGGTTTTGTAATGAATACACAAATTATGAAAAGTATAAAAACACTTCCCATCTGAAAACAGAAAAATGTCATTTATAATTATGTGGTTTGTTTGTTCGTTTTTCCTTCGCTTTGAACAGGTGCTACAAGTGTCCGTTATCTGTCAGTTGAAGGCCTGGTATCTGCTGTTCAAGGTGGGATAGAGTCACATGGGAAAGATGAGAGGATCAGCACTAAGACTACTAGATTTGGTCATTGCACAGCCTGCCTCACAGGAAAATACCCAGTGGAGCTGGAGTGGTGAATTTCAGCCCTCCGAACTGCTATTCACATAAATGTCTATTCATTTCTGTATAGAATAGTTTTTTGTTTGTCTTTTGAAATCTTTTGTTAATATGACTAAAACCAGAATTAAAACTGTGGCGCTGCTTTAACATTTGTAGCATTTGTAAATGTCATAAAAGGCAGGCCAAATACTGTGTGAATTAAAATAAAACATTCTATTTTTCCTATTCTCAAACATTCCTTTAGGAGTTGCATTAAAAGCATTCCTGTTGCTGTCAGATTTTAAACCACTACTTTGGTCAAGATTCTTGTCTAGTAAAATCACTACATCTTGTAAATATCAAAACGTTTAAACAATCTGTTTCAGTATCCATGTAAGCTTCTGGACATTTATCTTACTTTTGAATCGATGTGAGCTTTAGAAATCATGCTTCTTAAGAAAACCGATTGTTTTGCTTTTCTGTTAGTCCTCAAAAATGCACAAAATGAAACTCGGTATGTGAAATGCACATATTTGTTTATTAAAACATTTGTTGAAACAAAACATTTGAATTATTTATAGACAAACATACCATTCATCAATGCACATGTAATTGGACACTTGTTTAAAAAAACAATACTGGGTTCTATTAAAATTGATAACATTGTAACAAACAGCTGCATTTACAGGTACATAATATTTCAAAAAAGAAAACAGGACTACTGAATTTTAAGCACTATGTCTACAAATGGATGTCATCCCATGCTTTTTCACTAGGGGGAACTTTATATATTCACAATACATGCTGTGTTTATCCCACAAGGGGAAATGCAGGCTGTGGGATGGGTACAGGAAAGCACATCACTGCAGAAGACCATACTGCAGTCGCCTCCTGGAGAGACTGAAGAAAACAGATACTTAATCACCATGTTAAAGACTACAATAATATCTGACCATTCTCAAAAAACAAAACACAAAAATCTTAATTTTTCAGTAATGCACAATATATTATTATTGGTTGGTTCTTGGCCAATTTTGGAGATTTTCACTAATTCACTATTTACAGATGCATCTCAATAAATTAGAATGTTGTGGAAAAGTTCATTTATTTCAGTAATTCAACTCAAATTGTGAAACTCGTGTATTAAATAATTTCAATGCACACAGACTGATTCTAATTTATTGAGATGCACCTGTATAGCACTTAAAGTTAATTTTGGTTAAATTTAGTTTTATATCTTATTTATGCAAACTATATTAGACAGAATTTTAATATTGGTACATCCCTAGAAAAAGTCATATATGGACTAGTTAAAATGAAGGCTGTGAGAAATTAACACAGTATTTCGTGCAGAATTACCTAAGAGAGAGTGGGGAGGTACCCTGATTTAACGGTCTCATGGGTGATACAGCTGTTGAAATAAAATATTGATTAGTTAACATTTTGTAATATCTGTAAGCAAGATACAGAGGCCAGAATGATGTAGAGCAAGTATTTTTAGACATTAAAATGTGACTACAAACCCTCCACTGTATGGACTCTGCTTGGGGCATCTCTCTGCAAAGGAAGTGGAGAAACCAATGTTTTACTCTTGTTATTGTTAAACTATTAAAAATTATTTTTTTTAACTGAAATACTGTTGAAATAAAATATTAGATCAAAAACTTGAACGGATATTAGAAATGTTGCCTTGGCAAGTAACTGAAATTTAAGTTTAAGTTGATTACAATTTTAAGTTTAAAATTTAAATTTAAGGTGAAGTACAAAAATGACTAAATGGCAATTCAAAATAATAAATAACACTAAAACAACTACAACTGTATATATATATAACCGTGGACTGGGGCACTGCAGCAGGACGGCTCTATCCCAGGTGTGTTTGTCTTCAGAATGTTCTGACATGCCAGGGGTCATATAGCTGTCTCTCAGCTGGAGATGTTTAAGTGGAGAACGACTCTCTCTGAAGCGTTTGAATCGGAGTGACTCTTCCACTTCGGGCTGACGGCGGCGTTTCTTGAGCTTGGCTCTCAGGGGTGTCAGAGCGAGAGCAGACATGCTGGAGGAGGAAAAGCTGGGGCTTCGGGACATCTCCTTCATGTGTCTCTCACACAGGTGACAGTGGGAGGAAGGACACGGCGATGATGTTCCACGACAGATGAAGTGGTGATACAGCTTTCTGAACTCAGCATCAATCTGCGGTTCGCGGAATGAGTAAGTGGACTGGGGGCCAGAAAGAGAGCGTTGACGGTTGGATGGAGTAAAATGGCATTTCTCCACTTTGGATAAGCTTCGGTCAGGGTGGTCGTAAACAGACCACCGCGGTGATGACAACGGCACCTGTTTGGCACCATAAGGAGATCGGAGGACCTCAGAATGGGACAGATGGTGGACAGGAGACCTTCGCTTTGGACTTGCTGTTGAGTTGAATTGTCTTTCAATGTTCAGCACACCGGGTCTGAAGCTACTTTTCCCACTAGTAGATAAAACACCAATGAGACCACGGTGAGGGGAGGGGACTGGGGAGTGAAGGTGGTCCCTGAAACAGTCTTTGTTCAATGAGGAAGATCGGGAGGTGACTGATATTCCTCTCTGGTCAATAAGAGACAGATCTGCTCTGCTTTGTCGTGGAGACATAAGAACCGATGAGGCTGGAATAGCATGAAATGTTGGTCCAACATCATAGGTTTGGTCCAGATCTGGAGATTGGTCACTATATGAGGGGGAACCAGAATATGCAGGTGTGGAGAAGTCAATCACGCGCGCAGGTTTACTGGTTAAATGCAAATCAGTCCATGGACACTCATCCGTCACACCGCTTACATCCACGCTGTTCCTCCTGGGTGAGTAAAAACAGGCACTGGCCTCGTAGGATGAATGTTTGAGTGGCGAAGACCTTGGTTTGTTCTTGAGCAAATGTTTAAGTTTGTAACTGCTCTTGAAACAGTTGCTAATGTTTCTTTGAACTGGACTGTTAAATGAGATCTCTGTTGTTTTGTTCAGAGTGCAGTCGTGTCTGTTCTTAAAGGATGCATTGCGATGCGACGGGCCGGCTTGCCAGTTTTTGTGGAGGTACTTCTGCACCACGGCCCTCGCCGTATCAGTCACGTGCTGTCGCCTGTATGCCTCGCTGATCTGGTTGAGCATGCTGGGATAGACATCCAGGAGGGTACTGCCATGGCTGCTCAGTGTTTTCTCCAGTTCTTCATCCTCTTCCTCGGGCTGAGATGGCTCACCCCACAGAGAATCAGGAGATGTGTTATTCAGATTCATAGAGAGCTGGAATGATTCACCTCTGTGCCCTAGAAGATTATAATTGAGACATGATTTTGATGGCAGCTCTAAACATAATTTTGTATTTCTTCAATAAATGAATGTAAGAGCATACAGTGTGTAGTTCACAAATATTTGACTGTAAATAACAGAAATACTAACTGAAATGTTTATTTTGTGCTAAAGTGCAAGGTTACTTGTTTGTTTTATATTTATATATACATATAAGTGTTATATACTCATTGCTTACACAGATTTTCACTGTTTTCCTTTTGACCTGAGCCATTAAGAGCATCCTCAGTGACCCCTGACACATCCATCTGAAACTGGTGGGAATAACAAAATAAGTTAAATAAATAAATAAATACATAAATAAATAATAATAAAAAAAAACTTTTTACTTTTTGTGTTTTTGTTTTTTTTTAATCTATAAGTTTCTTTTTACTACCTGATCATTCTCCTGGTCCTCAAACTCTATAAAATACATATAAAAAGATTAAACATGAGAAATGAGGATAAATGGCATTAAACTCAAAACAACTGATAGAAATCACCCAAAATCACATTTTGTTTCTCACCCCTCATCGAAATGTCTGCTCTAACTCGAGTCTGCATATCAGAAAAGAAATGTAATATCCCAAACTGGACCAAAGAAAAAAATTCTAATTCATATTTCAGGTCAAAGCTAATGCAAACATGTGTATTACCAGTTCATACTATCATGATTATGTCCTACTGAAGATCACCAATATATTATTTACAGGAGGAATTTATTATGCCCATGATTATAAAATAAACCAAATCTAAATATTTCAGAAAACATACATTCAATTTAGATTTTCTGGGTTATATTTACAACAATGACTCTCACCTTTAATGCTTCCAACTCACGTTCTCCCTCTACACTGTCAATGGGCACAGGACCTGCAGTCATATAATACACAAACTCAGAAACAAATCTTAATGTTTAGGTAAAAACAACACAATATCTATTTATTTATTTTTTAATAACCCACCCAGCGAGTAGAAATGCTTAGATATCAGTTTTTATTTTCGATATTTTAGCCTACCTCTACCAGTCCTGCAGGTCATTGTTTTCAGACAGACGTCTATCCCAGGATCATTTAGACTAGAATACTATAAATAACGTAGTTTTTTTTAGAAACATAACATTTGGTAAGACATGCGCCAATACATGTACTTTATCTGGTAATACTAAGTTACGTACCTTTTGAAAAATAGCTTCCATCGTGTTTCTAAACGCACCGTCATTTCTCTTTAATTGATCTGCATATAAAGGTTTTGCAGACATGTTGCATTAACAAAATCTATTGCAAACGAATTTATTTGACCAACATAAATTGAGATTTTACAGCCAGCCAGCGGCTCGCATGAACTTTCAAATTTCTCCCCGAGTAAAAAATTCGAGCTGTGATTGGACGTTCTTTCAAGCAACACGAAACGTCATCTTAAAGCGCGAATTTGTCAAATGTGCTGTCCGAGTCATCTCCACGAATCTGTTCTTTCGAGGAGTTTGCAGGCATAAAAGAGGTTATTTGAAATTGCGTCTCCACATGGTTCTCTGCAATTTTATAGACACAAGTGGCTTTATTTTTCGATTAGGTTTTAAGGTTGTTTTTCGTGTGTTTTGTGTGTGTTCACTTCTCAGTGCTGTGTATGTGAACTTGGATGGGTGAAATGCAGAGCACAAATTCCAGTATGGGTCACATACTTTGCCACAAATCACGTCCTTTCCTTTTCCTTTTTGTAATTGCATGTGCCATATACTTGTTGCAGTGATTCAGCACATTCAAATAATTTAAAACATAAATATACTTTGGTAATTACATCATACAATACAAAAAAAAATATGTTGTCTTGGTTTTATGGCGAGTTGCAATCTTTGCGCATATCGCCACCTACTGTGCTATTATGCAATCAGGATTTTCTTTTATTATATTAGTTGTTCTGTCTCAACTCTGAAGCCATCAAGAGTCCAGGTATCGGTTGGCGCTGCGTGTTCAGCTCCTCCGTCCTCCACACTGAACCCCTTAAACTCAAAATATGTTGTCTAAAAAAATCGGCGTTAATTAATGAGATCGTGAGTCGTTAACTCGAGAACGGCTCGGACCGAACAAATGACGCGATTCTGTTTGATTCGCGAACGATCCCTTGGGGGAAAAAAAACAGTTAATCTTCAAAAAAATTAAAAATAAAATAATATACATAAACCAAAATAGGAAATAAAACAGTTATCGAATAAGCATGTGTCCTATTCTGTGTCCTCAACTCCTGAAGCATTGGTGTCTCATATTTTAAATATGTATATGTGTGAAAATATTCAGATGTAACTCCCTTTGTAATCATTAACATTTTCATAAGTAACTAATTTAATTACACTTTTTTTTCTCAGTAACTGTAACAGATTACAGTTACATTTATTTTGTAATTAAATTACGTAATGTAGTTACATGTAACTAGTTACTCCCCAACACTGGTCAGGTCTGATGATAAAAGCCCACGCATGGGCGACTGGATTTTTCAAGTGTTGTAATGGAAATGGCAGATGAGGGACGAAACAGGGACGTTCGCAAACTGGCTCCGACGAATGTCCTCCAAACGTCCGCCAGCGAACGTTACAAAGAGGACCAAATGCGGACGTAAGTGGACGTCCTCAAAACGTCCGCCAGCGAACGTTACACGGCGGACCAAAACCGGACGTCCTCAAAACGTCCGCCAGCGAACGTCAAAAAGAGGACCAAATGCGGACGTAAGTGGACGTCCTCAAAACGTCCGCCAGCAAACGTTACACAGCGGACCAAATCCGGACGTCCTCCGAACGTCCGGCCCCGAACGTTACAAACCGGACGTACTGCGGACCTAAACGGACGTTCAAAACAGGCGCTCCTAAACGGCTAGTTAGTAATTAATTGTACGTTGCAATTTCTGAAATGTAATTTTCGCTCAGATATGACCGCAAAATTCCTTCATGAATTGGTGCACGAGGCGGCGCGTGCTCATGGTAATAAAACAGCTGTCGCGTTCGACAGCAGCATTGCAGCGCGCGTCTGTTATATATTGTTATTAATATTATTGTTTTATAACCAACAGCAGTTCCAGAGTGCATTTTCCAACCTGCTGCTATCCCTACATTGTCCTCACATAGGCTCACATTAATAAAAATACAAAGTGAGCAGGACGCAAACATTCAAACGACTAATCAGCCTTCCAACTCTGCTATGATCAAACACATCCAACAGAGGGAGCCTTTGGCTTATGTTTTGCACACATCCGGAACAACAGGGCTTCCAAAAAAGGTCCCACACAGGTGTA